GCCAGTCAGAAAGATCTGGCACGTCACAAAAGGAGAGACTATTTAGGAAAGAAGGTGAAGGAATCAGTCTTGGACACTGAGGGTTGCAGTGTACACAGAACATCCAAGTGGAGATGATTTTATACACGGACAAGACTTTGACCAGTTGGCAAGGTAACAGTTACCTTTTCCTGAGTCTTGATCTCCGGGTCTGCAGTTAAGGAATGCAGAGGTTTTGGGGGAGACCTGTAGAAGTGGGAGTTATGCTCTGTGGTGCTTAAGCTTAATCGTGTCAGTTTGATTGGCTTGGGAGCCCCTAGGGATTAGGAAAGCAACTCCCAGGTACGTCTGAGTGGGGTATGGAGATGTGACTTTGGCTACTATACTGTATAGTCTTTTCTGGCCATGTTCCCTGCTCTGCTCCTGGTCACTATAAGCTAAGCATCTTTGCTCTGCCATGCCCTTTAGCTATGGTATTTCCTTGGAGCTGGTTGACCATGGACTGCATGCCCTGAAGTTGTGAGTCAAATTAAACTTCTCTTCCTTTAAACTGTTGGTTTTAGATATTGTGTCCCAGCATTGGGAAATCTTACCAGTACAGCCTGGGAGACATTTTTATAAAAGATAAGAAGCCTATGGTGAGCATTTCATAAGCCAGTTTATCTGATTTCACCTCACGCTCCTTATTTCTCTGTATTCTACTGGCACTTAGCAAAGTTATATTTTAGTCATCTCAGCTGACTTCAGTCATATGCAACTGACTGAGAAAGAAGACTACAGGTTCACTCTCTGGCCGCAGTGTTGGGGGAGCAGTGCTCCCCTCCATACTCCAAGGAATGGATCTTATTTATCCCTGTATTTTATGTCCCCCACACAGTAGGGGTGTAATAAATTTCTGTGAATGTATGTACAGTGGTGGATGAATGGGTGAATATTCATTTTATTTGTACCATGCCTCCTCTTACAACATATCATAAAAAGCTTGCTGTTAAAATAAATACCATAATAATAAAATATCAATGGAAACAGAAAAATAGTTTTTCCAGAAAAAATAAATAACCAAAATTGCCCAAGAAAAATATGAAACCCAATTAGACTAATAATCTTAAGAAAAAATAAAATGATAGTCAAAGGTCTCTGACTAACTACTTGACCAGCCTCAGGCAATTTACACTTACCTTCCTCAAGCTATAAATAGTTTTCCAAAAAAAGGCCATCTTTAATCTTATAGTATCATCAGCCTTCTACCAAAAGTCACAACATAAGTTAAATCGACAGGATCTCACTTATGATGAAAAAAATCCTCACTAAACTAATAGCAAATAGAATCCTGCTGTCTGCTAAAAAGAATAATATGCCACAAATAGGCTTGTCACTGGAATACAAGTTTTTAAAATATAGCAAATGTAACCTAGTACATAATTACAGGAAAAATCATCAATTTTATATAAAAAAATCTCACTAGAATTAGGAATGTTCCTAGTGCACAGACACTGCATCAGAACAGAAAACACGTTTGCGGTGAACCCTTAGGAGCATTAGGTGATGTCTGTAACCGGACCAGCGGTGATGGGAGGAAGAGCAGGGTGCGAGGGAGACGGACTTGGGAGGAATCAAGGGCCGCTGCAGAGACTGGGTGGTCTGCAGGCCGGGTGGAAGGCTCGGAGCGAGTTGAGACCAGTTAGGATGAGAAGAGAAGCAAGAGCAGGGCGCAGGAACCGCAGATGAGGGGCCCGCGACACTGAGAAGGGGACAGAGCAACGAGAAAAGAACAAAGAGCGGCCCAGGCGGAGGTGGCAGCGAGGACCGCGTCCTGACAGCGGAGGTGAGCAGAGCCGGGATTCCAGTCCCCGCGCGCACGCAGCCAGGCTGCTCTGACCCTAGCTAAAGTTGCGGGCAGAACTGCAGCAGCGTGTGCGGGCGCCCAATGGGTGAACAGGAAGTAAAAGCAGAGGAAGAGCGCTTCTGCCACGGTGTGTGGGGGCACCTGGAGGCGGAGGTGAAGCTCAGAGGAAGCCTTCTTGGTTCGTTTTGGTAAGGCCGAAGGGGAGCACCAAGGGAGAACAGAGACCAAAGGTACTTTAGAAAGGGGATGATGGACGGAGACAGCTACTGCGGGAGCAGAAGGAAGAGGTGCCCGTAAAAATCACCCGGGTTTTACCATCGGTAACAAACAAGATCACTTCCGGCAAGCGATGTAGTGGCCAGGGGAGCGGGAGGAGAGCCTTCTAATCACTTCCGGTTAAAACTTGTCAGTGAAATACACTTTCACTTCATCCTAAAGGATGTATGCAAAAAAAATTTTTAAAAGAGGAATGAAGATATATCATGTGCAAGTACAGATTCCCTATAATGAATGCGATCATTATGTATACTTAAATTATACCACTAAACTTAAATAAACCCTTAAAAAAGGATGTATGTATTCAGATTTCAGGTCCTGGGTGCCCAGGTGCCCTCGCAAGCGCGAGGTCGAGAGTTCAGTACCCAGTACCAGAAACAAACAAACAAGATCACTTATAACGTCACCCGTCCATTCACTCAGCAAGTATTTACTAAAGAGCTAGCATGTGCCAGGCACTGTTCTGGCACTGGGAATAAAATGAGAAAAACAAAGTTCCTTCCCCATGCTGTGTACCTTTATATAAGTTCCACAATTTAAAACAAAAATGAAACAACCCAGAGACAGAAGTTTGCCTTATCAGCCGGGGCTGTAGGCGACATGGTTTTGGTAGAAGCACAAGGCATGGATGCCGGAGGCGGGATCTCTCTCTCTCAGGGATTACATGTACATTCCAGCGCACCCAGGACCTGACCTCTGAATACCTACATCCTTTTTTTAAAGTTTATTTAAGGGGCTGGGGATTTAGCTCAGCGGCAAAGCACCTGCCTGGCAAGTGCAAGGTCATGAGTTCTGTTCCCGGTACCGGAGAAAAACCAAAAATAAATAAATAAATAAATAAATAAAGTTTATTTAAGTTTATTGGTGTAATTTAAGTATACATAATGATCGCATTCATTACAGGGAATGTGTACTTGCACATGATATATCTTGATTCCTGTTTAAAAATTTTTTTTTACATACATCCTTTAGGATGAAGTGAAAGTGTATTTCAGTGACAAGTTTTAACCGGAAGTGATTAGAAGGCTCTCCCGCCCGCGCCCCAGGCTGGATGTGCTCACAGCTTTAATAAAGACAAACGACAACAGCCAGGCGGCCACGGCAAATGCTCAGCAATCAATAAACCTGGTATCCAAACCTTCAAGCATCTGCTCAGCGAGTCACTGCTTCTTTTTTTTGCGCCCTTCCTCCTGACTCATTCCGCTGAGACCCAGCCTAGGCAGGTTTTCATCTGTCAGTTCACGCTTAGTGCTGGCCTCTATCAGTGTTCTTAGCGGTCAGGGACTAAATGGTGGGTTTCACTGGTTTTGAAAGAGAAAGGCAGAGAAAGTGTGTCCTGACTTTCCCGCCAAAACATTATTTTAGGGATCGATTGCCACACCGCGCAGGGCTATATTACAGGTGAGACAGTGGCAGTGTGTCAAGGGCCAGAGCCAGCAAGAGGATGTAAATCAACGAGCAGAGAGTCTGAGAAAGTTTGAACAGAAAGGGCCTCTGAAGTCACGGAGTGGAAACTTCTCGTCTGACAAGGTAAAAATAACTCATCACAAGGTCAGTTGATGGATGCCCCACTTAGAACTTAGGTGTCCTGCAACTCCACCTGGCATTTTCCATTATGTCCTGTTACCAAATTCCCTACTGACCTAAACTTGCAAATAAATGATTTTCCCAGTGAAAAATTGTTTATCATTGTGGAAAATGTCCCTTGGGGAATGGATAAATGCGTGCTGGTACCAAAGGAGATTTGAACATCAGACTGTAAATTTCTAACAGACAGGTCCAACCCCACAGCCCATTTTTTTTTTTCTTTCCTTTTAAATTCTGTGATAAAGCAGGCATCGTTGCAAATGCCTGTAATCCCAGCACTATGGAGGCTGAGGCAGGAGGACTGCCGGGAGTTCAAAGCCACCCTAAACTACATAGTGAGTCCCCGTCTCAAAAAAATAAAACAAAACCAACAAACCCCAAAACTATAATAAGGAATGTGAAAAATAAAGGATGCTTTGTTACTTATGTACAGTAACTTATATACATATTGTATATTTTAGATGTGACCCAAGACAATTCCTTTCCAATCCCCCCACCCCTACCCCAAAAGGTGGGGGAGGAAAGCAGGCCCCAGGTTGGACATGGCTGCAAGTCACACCACAAGATAAAAGGTTCTAAAGTGAAAAGCTGCCTGTGTTGTTCACACTATGGATGCTTCACGGCCCTTGCTTTCCCCCTGACATGCGCTTCTGAAAATAATTGACATATTTTAGAGCAGCTTTAGAGTCACAGCAAGCGTGAGCAGACGGTGCCGCGCACAGCTGCCCCAGCATCAGCGCCCTGCACCAGCGGCCCACTTGTCTCTGCTCACTCGTCTCGGCACGGACAGACACAGCTCTAATTGTAGGGTACTCGAGGGCTCGCTCTCGGTGCTGTCCATTCTGAGGCTTTGGACAAATTTATAAGGGCAGGTATCCACTACTATAATACCATCCAGAGCAGTGTCCTTGCCTGAAAAATCCTCCGTGCTCTACCTGTTCACTCCCTCCTCTTCTCTAACCCTGCTGGCCTCTACTTTAAATCTTCTGCCCATTTATTTTTAACCCTCCAAGCCTGTCTTCCATTACTGAAGCACAAGTTGAACTCTGGAGAGGAGTCTGGTAATGGGAATAAAAGAAAGTATGATTTAAATTACAGCTTGGAGAATTTCTGGGGGCATTACCCATGCCTTTCCTTATGGGGGTGGGGAGAATTTCAACTAGAATATTAAGTAATTCTCCTGAAGACCCTGAGAATGAAGCGACCAGCCCCGGGTCCTGGGACTACCTATTCATTTCGGGGAAAAGCCTTGCATCCAGAATGCATCAGACTGAGATGAAATATGGTGGGGGAATATTCAATTTTATTCTCAAGTTGGAGACAGAAAGAAGGGAAAATGAAGCAGAGTGAAAGATAAGGTGACCGGGAGAAAGAAAAAGGAACTTGTTAACTACAGGACTCTGAGCAAGATATTTTTCTTCCCTTTACAAGTTAGAAGCTGTTGAATAATTCATCCCAGGCATAGAAAGGCTGTCTCTTCCCTGAGTGATGTATCGCTGAGCAGGAGAGAGCTTCCAGTGGGTTCACCATAGCAGCCACCGCTCCTGCTTCTGAGCACAGGGCGCTCTCCTCCAGCTCAGCTTCTGCCTTTGCAGCCAAGCGTCCTCTGGCTGTGCCGCCTGCCCACCGCCCGGGCTTGCAGCGGCCACTTTACTTTCCCGAGCCCCGCTGCCAGCTGAGAAGTCTCCTGCAGCTGCTGCTTCCTGCCTGGTGCCATGTGTGTGGATGCGGCTCGGGAGAAGCGGGGCACTTGCTCCTGGCACGGAGCCCAGCGGAGTTTCCCCTGTTGATTCCTGGACCGCAGATGCTGCTGCTGAGGAGGTATTTCCTGGCATCCCTCCCTCTGCGATCGTCAGCTAAGGACCGGCCCCGAGACCAGGTACCCCCACCCTCTCCCTCTGGCACGTCCCGGGTTGGGGTAGCTCTGCTCTCTGCCGCTAGCGAGGGGCTCCGGCCGGCATGTGGCGAGCGCTGTGCGTGCGCGCACGCCGTTGTCTCGGGGAAGCGGAGCGGGTCCCTGGCGTTGCCGGCCCGGGGCTTCGCAGGTGCCTGCTGAACGCGGGGCGGCCTTTCCCGGCGCGGGAGACATTTCCGAGGCAGGCACCTGTCATCTGCCGCCCCCGTCCTCCTGGAGCGCCCTCTCCCCCTCCCCCAGCCCATCCTTCCGCCTCAGCCTTTGTGCGGCTGGCAGAGGGCTGCAGCGATGTCTTTGCCTCCCCAGCCGGCAAGTGTCAGGATGGGCAGCGCTGCGAGAAGCCGACGCTAGGGCGCGAGCAGGTGCGAAGCGTGGCCAGAATGACCAACTCCTCCTCCGCGGCCACCTCCTCCACCACCGGGGAATCGCTGCTGCTGCTCTGCGAGGAAGAGGAGTCGTGGGCGGGCCGGCGCATCCCCGTGTCCCTCCTGTACTCGGGCCTGGCCATCGGGGGCACGCTGGCCAACGGCATGGTCATCTATCTCGTGTCGTCCTTCCGCAAGCTGCAGACCACCAGCAACGCCTTCATCGTGAACGGCTGCGCCGCCGACCTCAGCGTCTGCGCCCTGTGGATGCCGCAGGAGGCGGTGCTGGGGCTGCTGCCCGCGGGCTCCGCCGAGCCCCCCGGGGACTGGGGCGGCGCGGGGGGCAGCTACCGCCTGCTGCGCGGCGGGCTGCTGGGCCTGGGGCTCACGGTGTCCCTGCTGTCGCACTGCCTCGTGGCTCTGAACCGCTACCTGCTCATCACCAGGGCGCCCGCCACCTACCAGGTGCTGTACCAGCGGCGCCACACGGCCGGCATGCTGGCGCTGTCCTGGGCGCTGGCGCTGGCGCTGGTGCTGCTGCTGCCGCCCTGGGCGCCGCGGCC